AATTATTAAGTCGGTTTAATTTGAAAACTTAAGTTCAATTGCTGCCTTAAAAATGTGAGTAAACTCAATTTCAAGAAAAGCTTTATTTCATCTCAGAAAGATAAGTTATATAAGCTCAACTTGATGCTTGGAGTTGAAATGACTTGCCTTCTCTTGTCAAACAAACCTATAATTTGACACTATTTCAACTCACAAAATTCAGTTACATCAGTTCTCACTGATGAACTCACTATATTAAATTATACATTTAAGAAAACTTGCTTTGTGTTGTCAAATGTGAATGCTGTGAACATGTGAACGCTGAATGTGCTAGCTCTGGCACTGCCTAGACTTCACATGAGCAAATACACTTAATGATAAATACCAGATGCTAAACGTAGACCTGATAAGTTAAAAAAAAAAAACAAAAAACAAAAAAAAACGAATAAGTTTTGCAGGAAGGGATTAGTATGGAACAAAAAGCTTGCATTGAATCCATGAACATTGGTACAAATGTTCAGAAAACACCGGAAATCAATTAAAATGTCCATTAATCTTTATCAAGGTTTAAATTATTACCACAGTAATTGAACTGCATTGAATTGAATTAAAAGAACATTAAACTGCTGTTTTGTAACTGCTTTTCTCTTCTCATATATCCATAACAATCTCTAGACATTTTTCATCTTTTTTCCTCACTTAAAGACATTTATATATAAATGTATATGTATATGAATTGCTATGACAGGCAACCATGCACCATCGTCCGAATTACATTATTAGCAAATGTGCCATAATCATAAATAAACTTAACAAATTGCCATTTTTATTGCTACTGGTTCTAGTATTACAGTGTAGGCTACTGTAGTCCTGCGTGTGGTTTGTCCAAGTGGTGCTGCTTGACTGCTGTGTATAGGTACAATCAATGTCAAACACTGTACTGTCTCTTTAATTCGTTACTTTCAAATATATTAAAAAGTTGAAAACAAGAATGTCATAGGCTATGACTGTGTTGTTGACTGAGTGTGGGGACCACTAGACCACCTGGCAGATTTTGCCCCCTCCATTGCTGACTCAATGACTACGGCCCTGTCAAAAACAGTAGTCAGATGTAATCAGTTACATTACTTTGATTTAGTAATTAAAATAGTTATAATAGGCCTACTTATTACTTTTTTAACAGGGTAGCCTAATTATATTTCAAAAGTGACCTTCCCAACACTGCCCGTTACTAAGTTTGAACTCTTGAGGTAGTAAAGACTGAAAGAATGTGTAAATTGGTTGCTAGGAGACACCTGTGGACCGTCCAATCAAGAGCAACCACTTATGTAAACAGGAAGTCACTGTTCACAAGCTAGCATAACATACGAAAAGACACAAACGATGTAGCTTTCTAAATGCCCGATATTACTTGGTTTTAATTGTCTGCAAACATGAATAGGTACGATTTTTTTTCAGAGTAAGTATTATACATACAGTTCACCATGAGTTTGGAGAGGAATTATCCCATTTATGCTAAGCTAACTGATGTTTATATGCATTAGCATATTAGCATTACATGTGTCATTTTCGTGAAATATACGGCTTATTGAAAAACTAAAGATTCACATTGTTATGAAACAGCATTATCAATTTTTCAGGCCAGATATGTCAAGCGTATTTAATATCACCTTCTTAAATTAACTCTTCACCCAAAACATTTTATATATTAGCAAGCTAAAGCTAACGTTAGCTTTGTCAGTTGGTCCAGTTAGCACAAGTGTTAACACTCAGTGGGTGTGAAATATTTCGCAACAACTAATCTCTGTTTGTCACATGTAGTAACATTTTATTTTTATATTTAGGATGTTTATATCGGCACCTGATTATAACGACAGAAGTAAATGTACACAAATACACAAACTGTGGCAACACAATAGAGAGGAGGGGGTGCAACTACAGTTCAGCAACAAAGCAGTACTTGTAATGTAGCCTATAATGGTGGGGACACATCATCCCCAATATTCAAGTATGCTCATATGTTGCATGTGTAATTTGTGTAGTCAGTGGTAAGTTTTATTTATTACATATTCGTATCCTGTATAGCTTTACCCGCTCATGATAGATAACATATCAGGACGTGAGTTTAGGAAATAAATTTAAATGTCAAAGTTGTTAATCAAATGCGAATGTTTCATATGCCTCAGGTCAGTTTATTTGGTCACTGAGGCAGAAACACAGATGCCCTCATCATGACTGTATTTGTATGTAATTTGATGCAGGGAAAACACCAGGCTATATTCACTGACACAACTATGCAAAACCAATGGGTGGACAACGCCCCCTTATGGTGGAAACACATTACTTTAAACCGCAGTGGATCACACAGAGTATCCCTCTCTTAATGCTGAGGACCAGACTACAACATTTTCAATCATCTTCTAAATTGACAGGGTATTTTCACTGTAATCATGTATCCATGGACAATAATGCAAGTAATGATACACAAAGTGGCCAATTTTTATGATTCAGACCAGATGTTGGGGATTGTAACTTTAGACCTATAAATACTGTCTGTAGTCCTCTATCATTTGTGTAAGTGGATTTCTGAGGGAACAGTGAGACGGTCTTATCCCCTCCTTCACCCCCCAGAGGAACCTGAAGGGACAGCGCTCCCTGCAGAGGCACCAGATGTGCGCTGTTATGGAAAGCCGGAGAGAGGGGCCTTTTGTGAGGCATCAGATAAGCCCTGTTCCCAAAGCCGGGCCGGATCGGGTATCATCAGTGGGTGTACGAAGGGGCGAAACCCAAGCCCCGCGCACTGGATCAGGTTTCTGTTTACACGAGCCGTGGTCCCTGGATTCCTCCAACCAGAGCAGACTGAGGACGGCTGGAGACAGGGAGGAGAGGGGCTGTGAAACAGCCTTCACGTCCCGCCTGTCTGTCTACCTGTCTGTCTCTCTGCATGGGGTTTAGTGTCCAAGTGAAAGTTCTGCTAGAGAGAGATTTCAGGATGCAGCAGAGCCCTGTTTACCTGCATTATTGGTAATGACATGACCAACTTTATGACTTAAATCCATCACAGTAAGTAGTAGTAATAACCTGATGTTAGGTAAAATAGGGATGTTTAGAATAAAAACAAATTTAGCAGTAAATAGTGGTCAAATAATAATCAGAGTTTTCCAACTTCAACAACTCTGACATGACGTTGATGTTTGTGTTGCTGAATGTAACTCTATCCTCTCCATCTTTTCATCACCAGCCTGGAAACATCATATTGTAATAAATCCTCTGGCCTCTCCCATCAAGAATAACCATGGGACAAATATTTACGTGCACAGACACAGGACACACACCTCCCTCATATGTGAACATAAATCCTGCCCTCAGGCGTGTGTGGTACTTTTCCTAGGGCAAGGGGTGGCTCAGGGGCCAAATGTGGACGTTTCAGGTGTTTTTTATGCCGCGTGCACATATACACACACACATCATGGCTCACAAACAGACACACTGATCAAACAGATGCCATTTGAGAAAGCCCCATACATTCTGCCATGGTATCATTTAACTCACGGCGTTCTTTTCATCTCTTTATTTTAAGACAAGAGTATACAGACAGTGTTTGTACTGTGTCCCCCTCAGATAAAACACAGTCTTTGCATTCCTTATGAAATGTATCTGTTGAGATTTGGGAGGGGTGGGCGCCAGGTGTTGGGTTACATCAAATCACAGGGCCCTCCCTACCCTATCCGAGAGGGTAGCGTCAAGGTAGACAGAAAGAGGGCATATTAGACCGGAAGCTAGGCGACTTTGTTTTCATAATAAAAGCAGAAAACGTATTGGCGTCCAAAGAAGGTCCCAGAGCCTTCAAATTGTATTCAGGTGCAAATAATTATTTGTAAGATGTGCAGCACATGTTTCTTGTGTAACCTAGCATACAATATGAGCTTAATATTAAGCAATCTAGTACTAAATAAAAGAGATGGTGCTGCGATTGTTCTTTATACACCTTTGAGCAGAGCAAATGAGTCTCAACCAGTTGTGTTTATACTATTTATGCCTTTTCTTCTTTGTCGTGATTGCATTTGCATTATTATGCATTTTTCAACATTCAAATAACATTAAAACAGATAAAGTGCCATAAATCTCAGACACCTTTGTGGCAACAGACAATGCTGTTTATATTCTACTGGACATTAATTAACAGGAAATATTGCTCGCATTTACAATGTTTTTGTCTCCAAAGTTTTGATGCAAATTGACCATAAGACCTTTATGTATCTTCATTTAGTTTTTAGTTTTTAACTTTAACTTTTATTGACTTATATGTGTTATAGAATGAAATATAAAAAGAGAAGGGGTTAAGTTGTGGAGTTGTTTCATTCCAGTCCATTTCTGTACCTTTTATTTGTTTCCCCGTTGGGTGGGTTGATTTGTGTCCTTATATTTAAGAAATCAGTCCACACATGACCATACAATAAGCAATGACAGTGCAATTCCATTAAAAGTCCAAAGCATAGGGCCAAAACCATTTGTTGTTATCTATTTTATTCACTAGAGGGAGGTTGTTTTCCTCCAAAAATCTACTAACTTTCACTCATATATGCAAACATATATACATATACACACATAGATATACTGACGCATACATATATATATACACACACACACAGATGTAAAAACATATACAACTACTTTACATATCTTTGCAGACACATATCTGTACACACATATTACGTCATTACCTTCATTCTCACACTTATGTATGTACAAATATTTTTACTAACTACACGTTGTCATTGAGTAGGAGCCACTATATCAAAATCATATGTCCACTTTCTCCATCCATCCATCCATCCATTTTCATCCGCTTATCCAGGGCCGGGTCGCGGGGGCAGCACTAAGTGCCACTAACAGAGTTCTGTAGTGGAGTGGTAGATTATTGGGCCCACTTTGGTTTTCTCTTTTACGCAGTTACGTTTAGCCGTAATTAACAATTTACTTTGAAAGTCCCAACCGGAAGCTTTGTCTTTGTTACCTGCAGATACTTGACAGTGTCGGAGAAGAGAGGGTGAGGATTGTTCAGCGGCGGAGCCTCCAGCCCGGAGCGCACGCATGTTCAGTGGACTCGAATGGTGCGAAGCCCCAGATGAGGGACTCAGACGTCCGGGAATGACAGCCGCTGTCACCGGGAGTGACAGCTTTCACTCTGAGCTACTCCGCTGAAAAACCCCTCCAGCTGACACCCAACACTGATCCGGATCGGATCCAGCCACACCAGGACTATGCCAGAGATGGAGAAAGGTAGACCACCGGAAAATAAACGCAGCAGGAAACCTGCGCACCCCGTGAAGAGGGAGATCAACCAGGAGATGAAGGTGAGAGTGAGTTTGTGTGTCACCGCTAGATTAGTTTTTATCAAGTGAGATGCGTTCATGGCCGAGAGATAACTTCTGTACGCGCACGTCTTCCTCCTGAGCTCAGAGAGGCAGAGAGTCAACTGCGCACAGATCAATGCTGGGAATAATCACGCACGTAACTGTGTTTGTTTTCACTCAATACTCTCCTTATGTCTTTAAAGTAAGCAAACATACGTCATGAAGACACTTTGGTTGCACGTTGAGAGAAATCACTGCCATCTTCAAAGTTTGCACCCCTCGGAGGACAATCAAGGAATCATAATAAACATATCTTATAAATATAAACTCCGAAATGTCACACACACAGACACACACAGGACGTTTTAATTATAGATGTTCGCAGCGGATAAGAGTAGGTTGGCCTTTGCCTGTACTCGGGACGCCATGTCAGCCCAGCTGTGGCCGGACGCGCACACCGTAATGTCCAGCGGAGATCCAGATGTGCGTCACTTCTTCCCCGCTCTCGCAGTGCGCACACTTGCTGTACCACAGAGGCTTGCCCTTATGCCTTCCCAAAGAGAGAGGGCATTTATATGCTTTAAATAGAATACCTCAGCCTCACCATGGGAAAAACACTACAGCAATATCACACTTTTTGAATTACACACCAAATTAAAGTTCATTTCCAGAGATAGGACATGTGTTTTAGGAATGTCTCCTCTTGTTGCTTACTTTAAAGGACAGTTACAGTTAAATCACAGTAACAGACATGATTCCCTCCTCCCATTAAAAGCCTATTACTGCATGGAAACTAATCCATGGATTGTCTGCTTTGTTTGGGTTTGGACACTGGCTATTTGAGAGTGTTGACTGTGGTGGTAAAGGGATATCCGAAGCTCCTTCAAGCAGGAGCTCAGAAATCTAAAAAGACAAGCAAGTTTCTTTGGGAGGGGGGAGGTGGTGGAGGAGGGAAATTCTGGCCTTTTCGTGAGAGAGGAAATGTGCTCTTTTTGTGTAAGTGGTTTGGATTGTAGCGTTTGATATCCAGGGGAGGTGTAGTGTTACAACTTAACTAATTTTAATCAAAACATGTGAAACGCTATCCCCGCTTGATGTGAGCCTGCCTGGGCTGAATCTCAGGGTCGGCCCCGGTTTGTTGCCTTTGGCTGCAACTCTCTCTGTGGTTTGGGATATGGCTTGTCACTCTCACAAAGCAGATGTTTGTCTGAACTGCCAAAAAGAAACAAAAACAACATTGTGGGAAGTGGAGGGGTGGGTGAAAAAAAAAATTGCCCGGCTTTCGTTAACAAGCAAACGGAAAGACTAAGTGACACTGAGCTGTATGGATATAGGAGAGGATACCTAGATAAGACGTAAAGTGAAATCATAGAGATGTGCAAAAGGAAGACAGTGAGAAAAAAAACGACAGACAGGAAGGCAGGAAAACTGATTTCGAGCTCAGCTGAGGTCCGGCCTTGTGTTGTCTCTGTAATACATCTGTTTCAACACCACATTCGGACCTACTCCCTCCACGTCAGACCCGAGCGCAGCACCAGACACCGGATACTTAACTTTAATCATCGTTAGGCATATTTAGCTGGATATGATACCACTGCTTGCACTCACCCACACACTCTCTCAGACGCACACACACAGCAGAAAGTGAGCAAGCAAGGGAGAGATCCATTTCTTTGAGGCCCTAGAGCAGAGCAGAGGTCGGAGTGAGGAAAGCAGGGGAAAGAATGTGCAGTCAGTACTACAGCACTACAACACCACCACAGCAGACTGGCTGTGCTGGAAAAGGGTGAAACCTGAGAGGCAGCGCTGTGTCGGGTGTCAGGGCTGGAAGGTGCTGGGGTGGAGGGGAGGATGGTGAAGATGGGAGGTGAGGGAGGGGGGCAGAGGGGAGAAAGAGAGGCAAGGGGAGGGACAGGGAAAGTGGGGAAAAGAGAGAGTGGTGGACACTGGAGGGAGAAGAAGGGAGAGGAGTGGGGCATTTCCGAGAACCGTGGGACCTCGCTGTGGTGTAGGGTGTCCCGCTCTGATTTCTGCCCGTTCCGGATCAGGTTTCTCCTCCAATCCGGTCCTCCCAAAGCCACAGAGAGAGGTGGGTGGATAAAGAGAGAGACCTTTGTGTTTTTTTTTTTCATCTGGTTGTAATAAAAAAAAAGAGAGGGACCACACATCCCATCTGCGGGGAACAGTTTTCTTTTCTCCCTCTTTTTTCCAATTAAAAGAGATAAACAAAGGATGATTCATAGATTTCACACTGGTGTTAGGTTTTAAACCTTTCCGTCTCAGATTTAGCAAGAGTAAACAACTCGAATACATCATGGAAAAAGCGTCATACTGTACTCCACTGTGCCCGTATTCATTTCCCCAACTGGGCTGGGGCTGAGAAAGAATCCCTTGCATTGATTCAGAGTAGGAAGGCCTGATTATGTTTAACATAGGATAAAAAGTTCCACTAACAACCCCTAAGATGTACGGTCACAATTTCCCATGTGCAGGCAGGCTATGGCTCAGTTACCGTATCCCTTTACATAGAGAGTTAATCAGTGATTTCTTTTCCTCTCTTTTTTTTTTACTCATGCAGACGTTCGCAGAGAGCACCATGAACGAGCTGCTGGGATGGTACGGCTACGACAAGGTGGACCTCAGAGAGTCGGAGGCCAACGAGATCAGAAACTACAGAGAGAGGCGTCAGCATGTGTCTGTGCTAAAAGGTGAGGGCAGGTGTCGACAGTTCGCTGTTAGGACGGAGTCTTCTTGGATTTACGCTAACAGGTTGGGCAGGTTTCAGTGCAGACATTGTGTCACTGTTCAAATTTGCCAGACACACTGTACCGCAGATGCAACTTCTCGAGTTTCTTTCATTCAGATACATCTATTGTTTCTCAGCACGACTGTACTGAAAATCAGTGTGGGGCTTTGTTACATTATTACAGTATCATGTGAGGCATACCGTGGATTTACACTATTGTGTTACCTGAAAAATCATTAGCATCATGTTGCGTTTGTCTTTCAGAGAACTCATTGCCAAAACCTAAGAGCATGGACACCAAAGTTGGTCACTCCGTCCTCGCCATGAAGAGTGGAGAGAGAGAGTCCTCCAGTGTCCCCTCCTCTTCACCTTCATCTTCCTCAACAAGTTCATCTCTGACCACCCCAAAGGAGCACAAGAGTGCCCCTGTCATTGTCCCCCTCATAAAGCCATCAGCAGGTAGTGGAGCTGTGGGACTACACAATAAGGGATATGATGTTAGCTTGTAGCTGTACCCCAGATTCACACATGCACACATAACCCCTGACTTGTGTTATGGTTATATTTGAGAAGTCAGAGTGCAGGATCAGCAATGTGGATGGGCAAATATGAGTTTCAGCAGTTTCCTCAAGGGTCCTGAACAATCACGGAGGCCCTGAAGACAGTCAAAAGGATCATTTTTGTTTTATTTAGTGACCTTCTAGAGCAGTGGTTCCCAACTGGTGGGTCGTGGGTCCACTCTGAATGGACCCAAGTGACTCGCAAACGTGTCAACTTTGTAAAAAACACACTTTATTTTGTAGTACAGTGAATTTCCAGCATCGAGCTTTTATTTTGATGTACCATTTTCTGCTGTAATGGACAGCTACTTGACAGAGACAGCAGACTAGCTTGACATAAAGCGCAACGGCTACGCATGTTCTCAGACTGCTTAGTTGTGCACCTATGAATTTTTGTAATTAGGCGCTGCTATGTGTGTGGGGCTTTTCAAACGTGAGTGTCACAAATAATGATAAAAGCAAATAAACCTAATTAAGAAGTAAAATAATGAATTACTTTTTACCATCATTATGTCTCTGGATTTTAGAAAGATGGTCACTTCACTTAAATATACTCATATCTTTCTTATATACTCATATACCATCTACCTGCCAGGGACTGCAGATGAAAATTAGCCTGTATGGCTAAATCTGGCACATTCATGTGAATTAGGTAGTCATGTTAATTAACGCGCACTGTCCCTTTTTAAATAAAACAGATATAAAAAGAAACATAAATGCCCTAAAACCAGAAAATCTTAAAAATATGTCGCCAACCGAATAAAACCGGTACAGGATATTCAGTGTATCAGCCTTGTTATTCCAAATATTTGCCTGCTCTCCTTGAAGGCACGCTGTAAAGGCAATAAAGTATGTCCATGAATATTTGATATGAGATCTGAGTTTACAGCTAATTACAATTCCTCCTCTGCACTGAAGCGTTGCTTGTTGCATGTATTGTCTATGGTGTTTTTCAGGTAACACTGCGCTGAGCATAAACGCCTTTGTGTGTGCATGTAGTGCGCTCGCCATCTGTTGAGGCCCGGGCATGTGCAGTGACATTTTCTATTGTTTTGACTGTGTAAGAAAAATCATATTTTAAATGTGCTGTATGCACAGTATAAAAAGGGCTACAGTTCTTACACTGTTGGCTCCATGTTGATGTAAAATCGTCAAACGTACAATGAAAGCCAACTCTTAAACCTCAGTTATTGTTTCATTTCAGTGTGCCAGAGTACAGAGTCAAAACAGTTCAAACTGTGTCGGGATCCGAATACCCACGGACTACACAAAGCAGTGTTGCAGATAATAAGAAATAACAGTGGTGCGGCGGCCTCCCTGAAATTAGACTGCCCTGAGACCTCTTTAATTAATTTATAGTGGGGTATATCCCACAGGAGGTTTGGAGCCCCTCCAGCTCTGGGCCACGATCCTGTGATTCTCCAACACGCTGACATTATTCAAACATATACTTGATCAGATAATTGGTTGAGGAAGAGCACAACTGACTCATGTCTCCTGAATTCTGGTGAGATTAAAGAACTTTGCTTTACCTGATCAAAAATACTGAGTGAAAATGCTTTTATTTTGTCTATTATCAACACAGGTCTCACTCTTAAACAGTCGTCGTCTTCTAAACCCAACAGCCGCACACACCTCTTCAGGGCTGGGCTGTTTTAGCAAAGCTGGGTAGTCAAAGTTTTGCAAGTTGCATGCATTAACTGACCTCAAACTTTTTCTGCTTTTCCCCGACAGTGGAAGACGTACAGAATGTGCAGATAGTGTGTGTTTGGTGCCAGAAGGAAGGTGTAAAACGCTACTCTCTATGTATGGGATCAGAGCTCAAGAGCTTCTGCAGTGAGAAGTGTTTTGCTGCCTGCAGACGGGCCTACTTCAAACGCAACAAGGTAAGTGGTGAATGAAAAAATGTTTTCAATACGTAGCACCATCACTGGAAATCCTGATACCTCACATGTATGAGTACTTTACATGGACAGAGTTTGTTTCACTCTTCATAAACAGGAGACCCAGGCATCAAGTGGCTTCTGGCAGGTAAACAGACCCTGAGAAACAGATCCCCCTGATCTTGTGAGGTCATAACTGATGGATTAATTTACAGGAATTTGAAAAGCGGGGATCTCTGAGAACACACTTTCTAGTTAATATGGAAGACCCAGTTTAGGAATGGTGGCAGAGAGGTCAAAGTTTGTAGAGGACACTTAGTATCAGTTTCGCGTTAATGGAGGAGGGGCCGGCCATTAAGTGGCTTTGGTCTGGAGGACAGGAAAGCTGCAACTATGAAGAGCCGCTCTGATGCACATTGCCGTGATTTTTCACCTTCCATTACGACATGGATATGCACTCTTTAGAGGTGCTGTGTGACAAGCAGCTGTATCGCCTTTCGCCCTCGCTGTTGTTTATACTGTGGTTGGTTTATTCACATGACAAGAGAGACAAAAAGGAGGGCTGGACGGACCCTGCGCGCAACAAGGCCTCTAGTTTTTCGGAGGCGGGGAGGAAAGCATTGCCGTTGGCTTGTTGCTGCTTGTCTGAGAGGAAGGCCAGAAGGCCTGGGGCGAGGTGTCCACTTTCAGTGCATACCTTACCTTCAGCTGCCTCATGTTTCGTAACTCAACACGACTCAATGGGTTACAGAGATGGGGGAGCACTCAGATCCACAGCAGATCAGCTTACATGAATCAAGAGGAATTTCCTATATTAATACTGGCAAGGCCATTAATAATACGACAATACATCACCTGCATTATCTCCCCGCTCGGTTGTAGAGTCGTATCTGTTTCACAACACAGTGATTTCCCTCTGTTGTACTGACCTTTACGGTTTGGCGCCATCACGCATGAAGTTCAAACTGTTTCTAACCTTGATGACAAGGCGATTCATCCGAAAGCTATTTTCTGCACTTGTTATTTAAGAAGCTCAAGTTTGGCTTAATGACCACAGAATGATTCCATCAACTGCAGCTACATCATTATTTATTGGAGAATGAATCCATCAACTTAGGTCTGACAAACTGCCTCACAGTGGTTCATGTCATGTGTGTCACACTGCGGTTTTCCCCTGTCAGGCCAGAGATGAAGACCTCCACGGTGAGAGATCCCCTCAACATCCCCACACAGAGGACTCGCCCAGACTGGTGCTGAAGATAAACAGCAATGTCAGAGTAAGAGGACACTATCAATGTATCTTTTGTTTTCCAATCTGAGGTATTATTATGAATACATAACATTACAGGAGTAAATAGCTTTATAAACATGTAGTTTGTGTTCTTCTTACCTTAAGGTCACAGTTAGTAACTCTTTTAAGAAATAACTTTTGTCATATTTGCTAAAACTGTCACTATTTTGTCATACTCCTCTGCCTACTCTTGTAGCGCTTCTAATGGCCTTGCCACGCATGAACGAAAACAATTGATCAAAACCAAGGAGTCTGTAACGTAGCTGTCAATCAGATCAATCACTCTGTGAACTGCAATCAAACTGTCAAAGTGGGCAGCGCTGATCAAATATGAATCAAGATTCTGTAACTGCATTGCTTCCCTCTCATCTCAAGTGTTATCAGAAACATATTTCAGTGTACTGTTTAGCTGTAAAATGAGAAAGTTAGTCCGTTCGATGTCACAAACAAACAAACTTTCTCATTTACAGCTAAACAGTACACTAAAATATGTTTCTAAAAAAATCTTAGGTGAGAATTAGGCAATTCAATAACAAAATATTATTTCATATTTGATCAGAGCTGCCTTGTTTGACAGCACACATAATGATTGACATGATTGACAGCTACGTTAGAGACTCCTCTGCCCTGATTGGTTGTTTTTGGTGCCCCGTGGTCTGGTCTAGTGAAGCAGTAGGAAGAGGAAGGACATGATTTTTTTGTCTCATGCACTTTTTTCAGAGTATTGCGACAATTTCTGCAAATATGACAAGGAGTTATGTTCATAAAAGTTAGTTACTGTAGTTTTAACATGTTGGAATAACATCAGCTTATCTCCAAACCAGGGCTGTCAAGTGATTAAAAAAAAGTAATCTCATTAATTACATGCAATTTTTGTTGTTAAAGTATTTTTAAAAATTCAATTTAAATTAATTTGGCAGATGTGTCCTTGTAAAGCTGACGAAATTTGGACGTAAGTGTCCCTATGTCCTCTAACACTGAAACTGGTCTGCAATCCAGTGCGATCCATTTTGCAAGGGAGCTAGTCGGTCACAGGTAGACTTAGTCAGTTTGAACACCTGGTTAATTGTGGCTTGACGAGGCTAGCTGCTAGCGTTAGCATCAGAGGCTGTGCTAACTAAATCCTTTGAGCTGGGGTGATATTTCAGGCTCAAAGTACTCTGATAGTACAAAAATTCCTTACTGCAGAGGACAGTGCTCCTGTCAACAGTTCCATCCGGGTGTTTTTTAAATGTAAATGTTCCATTCATGGGGCCAAGCAGCATCGTCTCGTCTGCCTCCATCATGTGATAAAGCCACTGTGGCCTTCAACAACTCACCGAGTCAAAGGGCACCAAGGAATGTGATTAATCAGCGTCAATTTTTTTAACATGTTATTTTTTTCTGTGATTAATCAATCAAAATTAATGCGTTATTTTGACAGCCCTACTCCTAATATTGTGTACTTGTACATTTTCAGCTAGACTCTATCAGGTCAGTGACCCTCCACAGTCTCTCTCCCCTGTACCACAGGTATGTGATTGGTGCAAGCATGTCCGTCACACTAAAGAATACCTGGACTTCGGATCTGGCGAGGAGCGACTCCAGTTCTGCAGCACCAAGTGTCTCAATCAGTACAAGATGGATGTTTTCTACAGAGAAGCCCGCGCAGCTCTCACCAGCTCCAGCCCGAGCAGAGCCAGCCAGGAGGGGAGGGCGGACGCCATCGTGGCCGGGCAAAAGCTGCTCACCCCTGAGTCTTGGAGCAGCAGCACAGCAGAGGCTCGTCATAGAAACCTTTCCCCTAAAGGGCCTACGCCAATCCATGGATCAGCAGAATCCACCTCTGTGTCGTCCCCCTCAGAGGCATCCTCATCAAATTCCAAGATCCCTGTCTCTGGGCTGAGGACCCTGGAGAGACCCATCCAGCCTCCTCCCCCTGCTGTGGAGGTGTCACCCCATCCTGCTCCCGTTCACCCACCACCTCCTCATCCTCGTCCCACTCTGGAACATCAGCCTGTACCTCAAATCCACATGCCCTTCATCAGACCTCCTCTTCATGCTCAGGGCCTGAAAAGCCCCCTTACCAACCCTCCCAGACACCCAGGCCCCCCCTCAAGTCCTATCCACAGACCTCCCCACTCTCCTCACCTGCAACCCCCGACCTCTTCCATGAATCCCCCTGGACTGATGCATCCCTTCCCAGGTGCCTACTTCCCTGGCTTGCACTCCCCTCCTCTGAACATGATGCCAAGAGGTCCCGTCCCAATGCCTCCAATAATGAACTATGGTATTCCTTCCTTTAGCCCTCTTCTGCCCCAACCCACTGTCCTGGTGCCTTATCCCATCATTGTTCCCCTACCTGTCCCCATACCCATTCCTATCCCTATTCCAGTTCCCTCTAAGTCAACCCTAGAAACTCCAAGTCACAGTGGTGTTATCCAGCCTGTGCCAGAGGGGGTAGACAGGGGTAGATCCAGGGTTACCAGGCCGCCATCTCCGGGGATTCTTGAAGGGGACAGCAGATTGGTATCCAACAAATTGGGTGGAACCTTGACTCAAGGTCTCCCCTCACTAAGTGAGCCCAACACAGATTGGGTTAAATCAGAGAGGCCATTCCCGTCCCCGACATCCACACCACACAGCGGAGCATCCTCCCCCAGAGCACAGTACAATGAATCGCCCTGCCCAGCCTCAGGGTCAGAGGGGCTGACAGACTATAAGCAGCAGCAGCAGTCAGAGCGACAAGTCATCCAACGGGTTCTTCAAAGGACCCAAGTGAAGCCCAGTGCCAACGGAGTGGTGGACCTATCAGGGCTGGGAGAGTCAGGAACTGGGCAGGGTACCAGATCAGGACTCCATGACATCATCAGACCCACCCCTCCTATACAACAGTCCCCATCACATGACACTGTCTACCACCACCAGGACTCCCACACTCCACCTTCACACACCCCGCCCAGCCCTGCAGGCAGCAGCCCTCCGTACGATGCCACATCCTCTGCCCTGAAATCTCAGGACCACAGTCCAAACGGGATGTCCTCCTCATCCACACCCGTCAGCCCGGACTCCTCCCTGCTCCAGAGAGTACCAGCACCGCCTCCTGATCCTGTGCTCAGTGAGCTGGAGGCCATCAAAGAGAACAAGTGCTCTGTTGTTGGCCCAGTGCGGGTTGAGGGCCCAGTCAGTCAGTCAGAAGAGCCCTTGGCAGTAGTCGGGGATGTAGGAGAGGACCCCCATGTTCCTGATGAGGACCATGCCTATGCCCTGCCCACAGCGCCAAAGACAGGTGGGACCACCATCCCGCTGCTCTTGCCCAAACTCAGGGACAAGGGCAGCCTGCGGAGCCCTGCTAATATGCCCAGCGCTGTAGACATGGAACCAGCTCTGAAGAGGCGATGCCTACGAATCCGTGATCAGAATAAGTAGAGGATGGAGGTGAGAGATTCTGTTACAAGGCAAAGTATAGATAGCATTGCTTTCGCTAGCTGTTTCATCTGATATGACTGAGTTGGAAGAAAGGAGAGAACTACTGTAGCTCGTTATCTTACTCATACATCCGCAGATGACATGCCACAAGCAGCACATGGGTGGGAGAGCATTTCAGAGATTGTCAGGTACATCTGAGAGTGTACCGAGTTGACTCTAACTGTATTTGCACAAGCTTTCTAAATCACACTGCGCAGCTCTGTGTGGCAAACCCCCACCCACGTGGTGCTCTGTCTTGGTTAAATTAAAAAGCAGCAATTATTTTTAAGCGCCATTTGACTAAGGATTGGAAAATGTGCACGCACACACACTCACACTCACGCAGAGCGAGCTTAATCACAGGTCTCACAGTATGCGCGTGGTCACTAAACAGCATGGCGCCAAAGAGAGAGAATCCCAGTAACCTGGCACTCCTCTGGGCTCTAAGGTTACAACAGGGGAAGGAGGTGGAGGGCACAGGCAGTGAGAGTCACTTTGAAAGGCGATCACTTCACCACAACCTGACAGTCACAATGCTTTGTTTGCATGGCAGCCTGTTCTGTAGATTCAGTTTTGCCAAGATGTGTGAAAACGTGTGTTTGCGAGGGAAGGAGAGGATTTCTTCATATCTACCAATTAGCTGAAATCCAGAGTAGTTTGCAATGTATGAGAAGGTAGTAGGTGAAGGACAGATGGCTGCTGCTAAATCAAAACCGTGACCTTGAGGTTATAAGATGGATCGTCCAATGTGACACCCAGACAGAGAGACAGATCGAGCGAGGTTGATCAAGTGTGACCCCAAAGTCAAACCCTTGCTTCTCGCAGTCTGAACGCTGAGGCGGCGCAGACATGTCTCTGAGGTCACTGTAGAGACAGAGGTGATTGTCAGACAGACTACAAGGCGCTGCGAATATGAGAGCCAGCCCTCAGCTGTGATAGAGCTCTGGGGCTTCGCTAGAAAACACAGGGGCAGAACCAGAGCGGTTCGATTACGCGTGTCACAATGACACCCTGTTCTGGCTTCGGCTAGTCTCCCACATATGACTTTAGCACTCTCCTCTCCCCTTTCAGTCCTTTTCCTTCTCTTCACTCACCACCGCTGTCCTGTGCCAACCAGATGTTGTTGTAAGAGTGCAAGGAGAAAATCCTCCTCACTTCTGACCAATCAAAGGGCCTCTTGATTTCACTTGCCTGATTGGTAGTCCAAATGGCTGTAACACCACCCGCCGTCCTCACCCGCTGGTATCTTGCCACGGCAATATCACGTTACGGTTTTACTGTATGTGCTGAGATTAATCTGCTGATATTACAGAGACGGTTTAGATTTCAACTGACCTGCTTTTCTCTCCGAACGCCCATCTGTCAGCGTAATAATTCTGTTTAAAAATAATGGCTGTCGATAGAGAGAGCACAACACGAACCTTTATCTTACACCCCCAGATGTTTTGCGTCTAAGTTACAAGATTCCCTTTCACTAAATGAGTTCCCACTTTACTCTTTGTCATTTGTTGTGGTTTCATGCGTCCCCTTAGTAACCAATACATATGAAATCACAGCGTGCTGCTTGTGTCGTGCAGATGGATTTATGGCCCTGCCGTTGTGTGTAATGGGAGCTGGCTGCCGTATGCGAATGACTTTAGCTCGCCACCTCTGTGCTCTGAGCCCAACACTGCTGTCCTGTTCTATTGTCTCCACTGCTAAGAGTCTTTTTTTTTTTAATTTAAAAAAAAAATCTCCCACTCTGACAGAATCAGCAGCCAAGTGAAGGATTTCACCTCAGGAAACAGCCCGTTTTTTCGTCTCAGTTTTCCCTTGCCTTTATTTGGGATATTTTATAGCCCCATGTAATCCGATCCCACCACATGGGTATTCGCTGAGCGTTTGAAACTAAAACGCAATGGGACAGAGGGAGTACAGAACCCTGGTTTGGCCCTTACATGAGAGTGTGTGTGTGCGTCTGTTTACATTTAATATGTGTGTGTTTGAATGGGAGTCTGTGTTAGTGTGTGAGAGAGAAAGAGGCCAGATGTTCTTGGTTTTGATTGTGCCCTGTGCGACAGTTATCTGAGTGTTGACACGACTAAAAGCCTCATTCTCAGGGTTGGTGTAGAATAGGTGGATTAAGGAATGAGTGTCCAGAGCAGGAGGGGTTGATATAAGATATCCTAGAAATGGAAATTACACAGAATCAGCCCAGAATCTATAACATCTCACTGCTCTGTCTCCCTCTCCTTCTCTCCTTCTCTCCCTCTCTCCCCACCTAATGAACAGACTCCCTGTTTAACACTGTATGGCGGTGCCAGATTCAGTGCCACGCCCTCTTGTGGACAACGCCAGTGCTAACACCCTCCAGCCTGTCCCTCAGCCTGTCAGCCCACCAGAGTGCTGCTCTGCTTGTAGACCAGCAGGGTGCCAACCCAGGAAGCAGTCCAGATGGCCATATTATCACAAGTCAACGTGGGGGGAAGAACACAGCACAGTCACACATTTTGTCTTGGACCAAAGAGTATCGCCGGCTCGTGTTTTTTCTGTTGTGTTCAGCGAGCGCTTGATATGGAGCATCTCAGATCTTCTCCCTGTCTGCCCTAAAGTGTGTCTATGCGTGTGTGTGTATGTGTAAATGCCCAGATGCGCCTCCTCATCCTCCTCCTTCTCTCATTGCTCTACACAGCAGACAGGGCTCTGATCAGCCTTGTGTGGTCTTCTCAGATGGAGCCTGAACATGATCTCTTTCCAGGGGAAACGGTTTGTTTTCCCTGCCCGGCTCGCACAAAGAGCCACATTGTTCCTCTCCCCATATCCCACGCTGACTCCCCACTCCAGGTTTTGGGTTACCTGGCCGACGGGGGCTCAGACTTCAGGAGCTTTTTTATTTTTTTGACCGACAGCCAGGAATATAGTATACCCTTCTCCCCCTCCGCCCTCGCCGCCCAATCTAAATACGGTACACGGTAACACACCAGTGCTGAGGTTTGATTCCTCGCAACCTGTGATTCTCAAATCTGCTCACTTCCTTTAATGGAGGAGAGAAATTCTGCTGAGATTAAGACTTTATCATCAGGTGGTTTAGACACTGAGCGGAGAGAGCCTGGCTGGGCTGCTGAGACAGATGACGACTGAGCGACAAAACCCAATCTCTGAGAGGAACGGATGCTCCCTCTGCCTCCTCTTAAAGTCAAACTACGTAGAACATGAGTGGACACCTACTGATACACAGTAGCAGAGACGGTCTGTGAACACTTGAGTCATCCTGATGATGCTGGTCCCTCAGTTTTCACCTGATCTGCCAAAAGCTTTGACGGCAAATCAGAATTTGAATCACTTCTAGCACCAAGTGCTGTAGGCTCCAAAACCCTGAACACACACAGCACCTGACAGTTCCTGATTAAGATTTTTTTAACGTCACTGGCTTTGATTATTAAAAAAAAAAAAAAATCAGGCTTATAATGTTACCAAATGTGGTATTATACTTTAGCATCATGCAGCAATCAGTATTACAGTTCCCACTGTTGGGGATACCTGATGAGATCTGATCCAGACAGATCACTCAGAGGCTTTTGTCAACTCTTGTCCCATTGTACGACTTCAGTTTCTCTTGTTGAACTCTACACAGACACTATTTGATGTTATATTAACTTATGAATGATGCATCTGTAGATTTTCACAAAAAAAAAGTTTGTTTTTTCTTTGACAATTGTATTCTGTGAGTGCCGAAGCTCTTAAACGCCCCCCCTTGTCGTTATGTTTGTATGCCGTATCCCCACTAGAGTGCAGTGTTTGCCTGTGTAACTTTGCACCTGCCCCTAGCTGACAAGAAAGCACCATAAGGCCCATAGGCAGTCTGCTGAAACCCATATGAGTACACAGAACATAACACTGCGCTTGGTGCCAGCAGACTGATATCCGATGCCAAGTAGAGCTCTTTTCCTTCACATCCTGCTGCCATTATTTTCTCTTTACATGCTACCATTACGGCAGTGTCAAGAAGACCCAGGGTGCCCTTCAGAGCCTCTTCTTAATGAAGAGTTCACCAGTCCCCCCCCCCTCCTGGGACGAGCAGTCATCATGGCCTACTCCTAGAATAACTCCAAATATGACCCTGCCATCATTCCAAAATGACATGCCTATCAGTTTGTGTGTGTGTGTGTGTGTGTGTGTGTGTGTGCGCCCTACAGCAGCGACGCATTTCTCCCCACTCATTCCAGCCCTACATCTTCACCACCACAGGTCATGCCATCCTGTTAGCGTCATCCTCGGCTGGCCAGGGGGGACTTTGTCAGTGATGACATCACTCCGTGCAAATAGCCGTGGTGTCAACAAGTGGTCCTCTACTCTGACGCCAGAGGCCAAAAAAAAAAGACTATTAAAGACTGCCATTGTTGGTTTGATTGCACATTTTAATCATTGCCATTTCTGACCTGATACAGTATGAGTGTTAATACAATGTTTGGACAACCACAAAAAGTACTTTTGTGTCAGAAATGTTGTTGCTGTTGTCGCCTGGAATCCATTGGTACTTTCTGACATCCCTTGTCAAACATTTAGCCCACTGTCTGAATAGATTATTCACAGATTGTTTGTATTTGAATATAGATTCAGTAACCGAGAGCTTTGGTGGAGACCTCTTTGTAAAGTTAAATAAATAAAAGTTATTCTAAGAGCAAGAAATGTGGTCTGATTTCACACTTTGTCATCATTTTTATTTATTTATTTTTATTTTAAAACAACTGATACTGTGTTGAGCTGTAACCTTGTGAATCTTGATGTTATTCCCACACAAATAACAATTATCCAGATACTGAGCTGTAGATAAGGACTGCTAACGCACCACGGGCCCCTGTAAATATCTATTTTTAGTGCCAGCGTGTCTGCAAGGCAGCGCATCAGCATTCCTAAAATGCTGAAAGTTGGTCGAGGCCCTGAGCTGTGACGGTAAAACAGATGAATGAGATAAGAGAGCAGGAATTCCGGCTAGTTGAGGGCACTAGGGGAGCTGTGATTGGTTATTGGGGGGCTGTGGTATCCCGGCCTGCGGCAACATTCCTGATAGAGACCCAAATCTGCGGGACAAGAGTACTCACAGCATGTATTAGTCCACAGGAACACAGGGAACAGATCTAGGATTGATATTTGTGAAGTCAGCTACACTTAAGCAGCAAGAAGCCGGATGCGAGATCTGCCTTCAAAATAAAAGCATTAATCAATCTTACCCATGATATTATAACATGGTAGCATTGAGTGGTTTATGTTATTAGGATATTTTATTATCTCCTTTTATGTCAAATCATATTAACAAAATGAGTCCAATTTCAAAAATGTCAGACAAACAACTATATTCACATATCACATTTCATACAAATGAGTGCAGATGGTCTACAATGGTCTTTACAACTGATAAAAAAATAAAGACAGACATTAAAAAAATAGGAAAATAGCTGAAAATACTATCTAAAAAAGACACATATTTTTAAATGAAATGAGATTCCTTTAAATAAATTACATTGCCTAATTAATTTTAGGCCACTTAATATTGTAGTATCTCAGGCTATAGGGACTTGGCTTGGGAACCAGAAAGTCGCTGGTTTAAGTCTCCATTTGGACCAAGTATGTAGCGTGGACTGGCAGCTGGAGAGGTGCCACTTAGTATATCTTCTTCTTCTCCATCTTCTTTGTCTAATTTTAGATTAAAAGTTACTTCTAAACCCAAGGTCCAAAAAGCATATCTTAATCATTATTTTTCATTCACATAATGCAGTTATAGGCTCATAATACATGTAGGCCTATATTAGAGATAGGAATCACCAGAGATCCCATGATACAATATTATCACAATATTTCTATTTTAAACATTTTGCAATATGCTTAGTATCACAAGAAAATATATTGCAATACATTTTGATTTATTACAGTTTCAGCTGCAAATTATGTCCCCAAAGAAAAATTGTCAACATCGGTTTTTATTTAATAAGATAAAGTTTTCAGCCCATTCATCTCTCTTCAGTCAATTCTATCATGGCAAAATGCATCTAGTGGATTGAAAAGGCAATTTATTTTATGGGCCACCAAAAGTTTGATTTGCAATATTAAGAATTTATATAGCTAACAAAAAAAAGATACTTGGTCTATATTGATACAATATTGTCACGCAAATATCACAATACACAATATCGTGATACTAAGCTGTGTGAACCTTTTCCCCACCCCTTATGTATAGCTATAAAATGCATTGTATGTAAACGTGTTTACAATATACTTCTTACTTTTTACATTAACCTGTTTTTTTTAACTACTTTTATTAAATAAAACTGTTTCTCCCCTTGAATTTAAAGTTCTTTTATAGTAAACATTATATGCTAGAATTTTACTTGGCGTCACTGTAGCAATACAATATTGATACGCCAAATATCGAGATACAAAATATCCCGATACTATGCTGTATCAATGTCTTCCCCACCCTTATGTAGTATATGTAAATATGTTTAAAATATTTTTCTTCAATAAATAATAAATAATGTTCTTTCTTAAATTTACATTTATTTTATTTTTTTGCAAAATGTACACATTTCAAAATGTGTATGTCTTCATTATGTATAATTATTTTTATATTATA